TATACGAAATAATTAGAGTAGGCAAATTCACAGAGACAGAAAGTAGATTAGAGGTTACCAGGGGCTGGGGGAGGGGAGAATGGGGAGTTAGTGTTTAATAGGTACAGAGGTTCTGTTTGGGATGATGACAAAGTCCTGGAAATGGATAGTGGTAATGGTTGCACAACATTGTGAATGCATCTAATGCCACTGAACTGTACAGTGAAAAATGGCTAAAATGGCAAATTTTATGTCATCTACATTCTACTGCAATATATATAAATATGTAATATATACATATAAACATATTATTTTATATACATAAATAGAACACACACATATATCATATATATGATACATATATATAGTAGGTGCTGGTAGAGTACTAGAGTCACTCACCAGCGAAAGCCTCTTAGCACACAGAATTTACATCTGTGTCTCAGCAAAAAGACAATTTCTTACACGTTGAGATTCTCAGGAGGAGGTATCCAAACCGTGAATGTTCAGTTTGCAAATGCATTTGTGTTTTTAACAGGGAATGTGCCTTAATCCAAGAGCGCCTATTCTTTGTCAGACCACTAGGCACTCAGGAAATGGTTATTTTCAATTACCTTGGGCTAGGGAAGAACTTTCGAAGCTTGATACCAAAAGCAAAAATCACAAAGGCAAAGAATGACAGGCTTAACTACATGGAAATCCAAAACCTCTCTACAGCAAAGAACTCCATCCTCAAAATCAAATGGCAAATTAGTTGACAAAGGGTTGCAATCCCTAATTCAGGGTTTCTCACGGTGTGGTCCACATACCACTGGTGCTATGGGAGAGGAGTTTTAGTTGGTACACGGACAGAGAAGTGAATCTTAGAGCATGAATTCAGGCACTACAGCAGGCAGGCAGGAGAATAGTTTTGCCCCTCAAATCACACCATATAAGTGGCTAAGTCCTCAGAAGTCAAGACCAGGAATAAGCGTTTATGAAATCATTAGTTCTAAGACTCAGAAAAGCACAAATAATTTGTTATGCAATTTTTTCTTGGAAACCTGATCCCTGAATCTATATTTTTTCCCTTACTCTATATGTCAACTCAATAGGGAAGGTTAAATGAATTAGCACACATAAAGTAATTAGAAATCTTTGCTATTATTTTCTGAGCATCTAAGTGTGGGAACCAGTTGCTGCCAGCTCAGAAGCTTAAAGGTACTCTTCCAGGGCTTTTAGAGCTGGAGGGGACTCTGATTCAGATTATCTCAGACCACCCTGGGCAGGTGCGCTCAGGGGCTGAAGGCGAATACACAATAGAGCTGATTAAGAAGTTTTGGATAAATCTTATAAATAAATTTGACGTGACAACAATAGAATATGGCAAAAGTTCCCATTTCAGCTTGCTATACCTTACTGATCAGAGAATTAAGGTCCCTCAAATTTCAACTTTGGAAGTTTTTTCATAGGCTACATTTAAATTGGAAATTTTCGCTGTTTGCCCAGCTTATTCTATCCGCCTCCTTAGTTTTCCAGTTTTAGAAGTATATTCAAATGATAAGATAGAGTCCCCTAATAACTGGGTGACCAACTACCCCAGTTTCCCTGGGACTGTCCCAGTCTGAGCATTGAAGGAACTGTGGCCCTGAAATGGGAGGGTTGGTCACTCTACCGAGTAAAGACATTTTAACCATTTGGTTAGTTTCTGGGCTAATATTTGCCTCTGCTTAACAATTCTTTCTTCAGAGACAATTCTTTAGTGTCTGACTGATCTTAGGTGGAGTTTCGGCTCTGCTCTTCATTGTGAGGCATGGGGCAAGTTACTTAATTTTCCCCAGTCTCAATTTCCTTCATTATAAAATGTAGAAGGATGATAACAGTACCCATTTGATGGGGTTGGTGTAAATATTAAATCAGATTATGCGGCTGTAATACACATATTGTAAATGCTCAATAAATATGAGCTATTAATCTGTTATAATTATTAGTTCTAACACAAGCTTGAAGGGATGGTATTTAAAACACATTCTCTCCCCTCTCAATAGTCTAGAGGCACCATTTACATACCAACAACCTGCATGCCCATTACCATGATTCATATGTATACACACAGCACTGTCCATCAGGAGTTCTACCAGGCTATTAGTTACTGCAGGTGGTTCAAACCGGAAAAAAAAAAAAATCACCTTTAAACTTTAGTAAGGATTTTCGAAGACTAAGTTAAAGTTGTAAAATCTTTACATATGACCACACCAATAATTAAGCAGTCATCTAACTGAAAAACCTTTATTGACTACTGGCTGTATAACTAGAAGCCAAGGAAAAACCAAGCGAGGGTACAACACAGCCCAGCCTCACATTGCTTACACTCTTGTGTTCCAAGGAGACCAAGAGCTAAGCTGGGAGCCAGGGACAGGTCAAAGCAGACACACCAGTTAGAAATAAGGATGTGCCCCGTTCTTAGTCTCAAGAATATGGGAGCCCTTTCAGCAGAGGAGTGGGCTGCAGGAGGTGGCGCAGGGAGAGTTGCTTCCCTGGAAGAGGCAGTTTTGAAAGTAGGCAAATTAAAGGAAAAAGACACCCAAGTGGGAATTTGAAATATCAAATCATTAAAAGGAATAGAGGTAAAAATGATGGCATTTGAAATATCAAACCATTAAGTGGAACAGAAGTAGAAATGATGGCTAAGTTATGAAGATAAAAACCTAGGGAATAAACAAAGTAAGAAAGTGGGAATTTTCACTTTGGAGAAAACCATCCAGCTCAGATGTTGGCGAAGTCCCAGGACTAGTAATACTGGTCTCTTACTTGGCTAATGAGCATGTCATACTGGGCAAAACCTAAAGCAAATTCAGAACCTCCAATCTCTAAGGTCCCAGTTGTCCAGGAAAATGGGAGAATGCTTTGTCCTGCTAGAACTATAAGCCTATTACCACAGGACCCCGTCGCTCCCTAGCCGCACTGAAGCCTGAGGGCTTGCTGGTTCGCTGCTCAGCTGTTTGGGACGCGGAGTTGCTCTAATTCCAGGAGGCAGGGTGCTCAGGTACACAATTTCAACAATCCCAACAATTCGCCCTGCTCCCCCCACCAATGCCCTCAGCACCCTGTGCCTCCACCACACAGCATTTCCAGGGTTTGCCAAGAACCAAGCGTCAACAGACTGGTGTCAATGGAGCAGGTGACAAAGGAGGTTTCTCCGTTTAAGAAACCCGGACAACCAGAAAACCTCCCAAGGTGTGGCACAAGCAACATTTTGATCTCAGGCTCTCAGCCTCACACTCACTACCTAGGTCTGATGGTCCTAGGCCCCGCACCTAGGAACCAGAGCTGAGGAAGCATCCCCTCTTACACCTCATCACGGCCATTTTGGGACAGTTTCTCTCCCAGTTGAAAGAGTGCAAACCCTACAGGCACTCTTTCCAAGTGTCTCTGCTACCCCTCCTCCCGCCGCCACTCTCCTCCTGAGAGCAGAGCTGGATTGTTAAGAGCCTGTTAGGCTTTTAGCTCCGCAGGGTTACAGCACCTGTGGTCTGATAAACTTGTAGTAATCTTTCACCAGAAATGAAGATTCCCTCAAAACCTGTTCCATAAGCGGCCTGGTTTCTTTGAGACAATGAGATAAACTGATACCTAAAGTGAAATAACAGGTGAGAAAGGGCTTTGATGGCGTGGAAAATGCCTGAGAAATACAACTTGTTATAATAATAGTAACGAAGTCAGCAGCCCCGCTTGTTCCCTCCAGGAACTTCTGGGGCTGAGAAAACAAATCTAGTCTTAGCACTAAGTGAGGGTAGTTCTTGCCTATCTCAATTGCTTTCAAAACTTTTTACTTGTGCCTCACCAAAAAGCCATCTAATTATTCAAATATTCTGTGGATGCTCAAAATTTCTTATTACCTTGTCTGAGCACACCATCTGCCCATGACCTGGAATGTCAGAACTAGAAAGAACCTTAGAGACCAGAAAAGGTCAGGCGACTTGCTTAGGCTCACACAGGAGGTAAAGCCATAACTTGTACTACAACCGAGGTCTCCCACAACAGGGTTCTCTTTTTCTTACACAACCTGCGTCATTGAGAAAGAATAAAATCCACCCCCTTACACACACACACACACACACACACAGTGCCCTGTCCCGACGCTCTAAGAACACCAAACCCACAACTGGATTTCCTGAAGTTGCCTCCCTCGCCTTGAAATTGCCTCAGCTGACCCCTCCAGGACTGACTTTCACCAGAGTGTCTCAGACTGGAGGGCAGCAGCCACCTTGTGTCTTCCCATTGTGTGTCACCCCTCCCCTCTCCTTTCCTTGCCCTTCAGCAGGATTTCTAGAAAGTCTGACCAGCACTCGAACACACGCCTGTGAGACATGGATTCATCCACTCTCCTGTCCTAGGATGCTCTCTGGGGCTGCTTTTAGCCGTCATTTGAAATTGAAGGCTGGGATCCATGGAGGAGGTGGGGGTCCCCCCATCTAGACTCTAAACAAATTCTCAAAGGTCTCCAATATTTCTTATTCCCACCCTCCCCCACACCAGCAGCAGCTTAATTTGGACATTTTGCTTGCCCTCAATGTCCGTCAGGGCCGCTCAGTAATTTAAAAGCCCTTGCAGTTTCAATCCGAGTTTGCACATTTAAAAATGAGCTTTGGAGAAGGGTGGAACTCAGATCCCAAGAGCATCCCAGAGCAGAATCTCCAAAGTGACTGTGGAAATACATGCATTTGAGAAGGGGGTGCCGCCAGCTACCCCCAAACCATCTAGAGCTCTGTCCACCGTCTGAACTCCATCATCTTCCCAGAAAAGCCTCTGCAGCCACCGTTCAAAATAGAGCTCCCACCTGCGGGCCTCCCCCCAGTCGCCCTAGGACTCCAGGTAGCCTCAGGGTCGGGTCATGGCAGCGGAGGAGCCTGACCCCCCTAGGGCTCCCCATGAACTTCTTGGTTGCCCCTTTTGTCAGAGGCGAGGGTCCAGCAGAGGCTGGTGCGAGTTGGGATCGCGTGCCTCCCCCTCCCCCCACCCACGCCGTGTGCCCAGCCACCCACCTGTGGAAAAAGAGCAGGATGGAGAGCATGGTCTGGTCGATGTTGCGGTTGCAGATGCCCTCGTTGATCAGGTAGCAGGGGTCCCGCAGCACGGGCTCTAGCGAATCCTGCCGCATTATGCTGTTGAGCTTATCGGTGTTGAGGTTCTCGAAGATCAGCTTCTCCTGCAGCTGCCGAAAGTTGCTCACGGTAGGGCTGCCCGGGTTGTTGTTGTCCCCGCCGCTGTCTCCCTGGAGCCCGCTGCGGTGGGCCAGGTCCAGACAGCAATTGCAGCAGTCGAGGCCGACAGGTGAGCGGCAGTCGGTCTCGGGCTTGGCCATCTTCTCAGGCTCGGGGGCCGCCTGGCCTGCGAGGTCAGGGGCGGCTGGCAGGTGCGCGCCCTCTGGGCTGGTCTGAAGGGACTCCAGGGTGTCTGGAACAGACAAGCTGTGAGGAGAAGAGTTGGAAATTAGCGCCTAAAGCCAGCCACCCCCGGCTTGGTCCCCTTCTGGCTGCGCTGCTCCGGGTGCGAATACAAACAGCTGGACAAACAGCTCTGAGCGGATCCTTCGGGCTCACTTCCTTCTCTTCCTCCTCCTCCTCCTCCCCCTCCTCTAGAGGCTGGGGCCGCCCCCTGAGGTGCCACACGAGGCCCCAGCGCAGTCCCAAGTTTCCCAAGTGTGAGCGGGGATCGGGGCGGACCTGTAGCAGCAGGAAGGGCGGGCAGCAGGGCAGAGGGAGAACCCGGGCGCGCCCTCGCTCCTTCCCTTCTCTGCTCCCTCCCTCCCCGGCTCGCAGGCTCTGCCGCTCTCGGGCTCCCCTGGGCTGTGCCGGCGGAGCGGTGGCAGGAGCCGAAAGCGAGTGAGCGAGCTGCACGCCCAGGAGTCAGCACCGGGCTGTGACAGCATGTAAATTATCCCAGAGGGGCCGGCGGAGAACGCTCCTCAGCCGCTTCCCCTGGCGAGCGCCAGCCCCGGAGCCGGCTTCGTCCTGCCCCCAATCCTCCGCCCCTGCCCCGCCCGCACCCTCGCGCCCTTGCACCCACACCGCCGCTCGCACCCTCGCCCGCGCTCGCGGGAGCCGGACCCGGCTCTCCCTCCCTCAGCGCGCCCGGCGCCTCGGCTCCGACTCTCTCGCTGCTCACGGCGCATCCTCGGCCAGAAATGTACGAGCGGCCGGAGCCGGCGCGCCACCCGGATCTCGAGCTCCGCGGGAGGGCACGTGTCTCTTGTCCCACCGCGGACGAATCTCTCTACAGGAGAGACGCCTCTCTCGAGAGCCGGTCTTGTCAGAGCCTTGTACACTGCCGCCCTCCACAAGCCTGTTTTCGGGGGCGGGGTGCAAAGAGAGAGGTTGCCCCCGCAGAGAGTCTGAGAATGTCAGGCACACATCAAGAGGACCCAATAAATGCCTTGAACAAAACTCGCAGAAGCACGCTCAGACTCTCCTCGGTTTTTGTCCCTTCTCACTTCACTTATCTCCCCATTCCCGCACTTGCTCTCGCCTCTCTTCCCTGAACCTCATCTGAGGCCATCTCTGTCCTGGCTTCCGCGAATGCTACGCCGGATCCCCAGGAGGCTTCTCGCTGCCCAGCCCCTCTCAATCTCTTTTCCCTTTGCGCCCCTTCACCCCGAAACCCCCTTCCCCCGCCTTCCTTCTCTCAGCATTATTCTCCCACTCTTTTCATTTTCTCTCATTTTTTCTTTTCCTTATTTCTATTTCTTTACCCATTTCCGCTCTCTTCCCTTTCTTTCTTGCCCTCTTTCTTTCCTTATTTCTTTTTCTCTCCTACTGTATTTCCTTATTTACCCCCTTTCTCCTCTATTCCTCTTTTTCTCTCCCCGGTGCCCCTTTATTTCTCCCATTTTATTTTCCCCTCGCTTCTCTCGCTTCAGCACCGCATTTTTCTCCTCACCTCACTTATCTTCCCCTATTTTTCCAAACTCACTCCCTCCTCTTTTTTCTGATCCCCATCTGGCACCATCGGTGATCTCTGTCTTACTCTTTTAAGAGATGTGGTGATTGGATGTTCACGGGCACTAGGGTGTCGTCGTAAAACTGCCGCCAGGGCGGTTCTTGGCTCTGAAGGGAAGGAGACCCTGGAGTTGAGGAAAGGTGAAAGGGCAGATGTGTGGAGAACAAGGCGGGCTGGTGCCCTGGGTCGTACCCCAGCTCTGTGAAATTAGGGATGTGATGAGCGGGCAAGCGGTAGACCCAGGGTGTCTCAGGACTTGGAGACTTGGAACACTTTAGATGTATAGGATTCGATAATTATTGGTTCCTGAAAAAGATTCAAAATACTCAGGATGTTCGGTTTTCGCATAAAACTCAAATGGATTTCAGTTTGTCAGTACTCCCCACCCCACCCTTCGGTTCGTTTCATTCACAAGCCCATGGCCCTTGCAATAGAGCAGTGTATACCGCCATCTTGTGTCTAAGACATGAACGTGCCCTGGGTGGATCACAGAGTGAGATCTTTGGGAGACACCAGAGGTGCCTCCTAGTGGAACCCACGCTGCATTGGTTGTGAGAGTAGGAAGCAAGATGAGGCAGATCCTTTACACTAAGAGGGTGCCTAGCCAAGCTGTGTGCCTGGACACCAGTCAGGGCAGAGGCACCCTCTTTCTAGTTGAGCTCCACTTGCCTGAGTCGCTGTCTATTGGGCTTCCATAGATCTGAAGTTTCCTCCAGATACCACAAGCATCAGCCCTGTGATTAGGAGGAAAAGGCAACCAACAGACACCTGTTCCTAAGGCTCTGGGGGTCTTACATGGGGCCTGGCAATTTTCAGAAATGGAGGGAAGGCTGTACTCTCTCTGCTGTAGGGGCCAGAAAACCAAAACCAAGCTGTATCCCGGGCTCCTGACAGGATCCCAAGATGAGAGATGAGAGAGGTGCTTGGAGGTCATTGACAAGACCAGCAGAGCTGAGAATGTGGTTCCTGTATTCGCACAGACTGCTGAGAATTCCGTTTGTTCTCTCAAAACGCAATCCTTCAGAGGGGCTAATTTCCCCTTTTCTTCTTCGTTGTTGTTTTTGTTTTTTTAATGTTCTTGGGTAAAAGCCAGAGGAGGTAATAGAATATGAAATTTCATGCGCATTGTGTAGACTTATAGCCTACTGAATTGTTTTTTAATTACAGTGTTTATGATTTTCCCTCTTGTTTATAATTATTTTATGTTAAATGTTATAATAAAATATATTAGTTCCATAAATGTTTATTTGAATTGTATTTTGAGAACTACTGGGGCCTTTTGCTTCTTTGCTTGCCTGAGTCCTCTTATCTTTGTGCGTAACCTTGGGATGAGGCCCCGGTGGAAGTATTTCCTTCTTGGCATTTGGCACCATTAAACTCAAGATTTTGTCCCCTTGACATTTCCCTTGTTGTAGTCCTTGCTCTCAAGCAGTATTGTTAATAATTCAGCACAGCGTTGCATACTATATCCAGGCTGATCAAGAGCAAATATAACTTAGATATAGAACAATTTAGATAGTTCAGAGATAGAGTTCAGAAACGTGCTGTGTGTTTGCATACAAGTCCGGCTTGTATTGGCATATAGCATACCTCTGTGTGAAGGCTGACTGGGCAGGACCTCCCTGGCTCTTCTCTGTGAAGCCTTGCTTTGCTCGCATATATTGGGTTGGATGGAGAGACTCCAAGCAGCAAACCATTCTTGTATAAACCCAGCCAGCAGAGGGGGCCTCACTTCCAGACAGAGCTGGTGGATTTCTGGGTGGAGCAGAAAGGGAATATACCAGGCACCTCCTTCTCAGATGGAGTCATTCAACAGTCACGTACTCGGCACCTGCCCTGTGCCAGGTACTGTGTTAGTGGGAATCAGAGGGAAATAAGACACAGCCCAAGCCCCCAAGGAACTCAGGGCCTAGCTGGTAAACAGATATGTAAAGAGACAAAAACAGTACAAATGGGAATTCAGGATGGAGGCCTTGTGTGTGTGGCGGGGAGCAGTGCTGTGGGAGTGTGGAAGAGGGGTCGGCTATGGAAGGACGGAAGGGCAATCTAGGTGGAGAGAGTAGAGAACAGAGGCCTAGAGGTAAGAACAGTGTGTATGCTGGCGGCCGGGTGCGGGTTGCGAAGCAGGTCAGCGATACTGGAGAATAAGATGCGAGAGATGGAACAGTGAGAGTCGAGGCTGGAAAGGGATTTGAGAGCCAGGTTTTGGGGGAACTCGTGTGAAACATTAAGGAAATCCTCCCACTTCACAAGTTTGCAGTGCTTTTAGCAATTATTAAGAAAAAGAATAGATATTTATTGAGCCCCTGCTATGTGCCGGGCACTTTACATATATTATGTCATTTAATTCTCACAACAACCTTACGAAGTAGGTATGATTCCAGTGATGCTATCTGCTTGGGAACATTAAAGAAACTCTCAGGTCACATAAGTAGTAAGTAGTGGCGTTTGGATTTGAGCCCACGGCTTTCTGATTTCAAAGCTTGTGCCTTTAACCATTAGGTGGTTTTTTTAATGATGAGTTTATCAAACATTTGCAAAGCTTAACATCTGTTTTAGGAAGATTGCATACTCAAAGAAAAAGTGCAATCAATGATTTACTGACTAATATATTTAAAGACATTTATTTGTACTCTGGAGAGCCAAGAAAGAAATTGAGGTATCTGGTATAATGATTAATATTATAATAGTTGATTTTTGATTACCTACCATGTGCCAAGTGCTTTACATGGCATCATCCAATTTAATTATCACAACAATATTGTGAGTTAGATATTACCATCATCCCCACTGAAAAGACAAGGAGGGGCTGGCCCAGTGGCGCAGCAGTTAAGTGTGCACGTCCCGCTTCGGCGGCCTGGGGTTCGCCAGTTCGGATCCCGGGTGCGGACATGGCATCACTTGGCAAAAGCCATGCTGTGGTAGGCGTCCCCCATATAAAGCAGAGGAGGATGGGCACGGATCTTAGCTCAGCGCCAGTCTTCCACAGCAAAAAGAGGAGGATTGGAGGCAGATGTTAGCTCAGGGCTAATCTTCCTCCAACAAAAAGAAAAAAGAAGAGGAAACTGAGGAACAGAGAGGTTAGATAGCATAGCTAGAGGATAGGTATCTGCCCTCTAAGTACTTACAATCTAGTTAGCTTCAAGTTAAGGCACACAACAGTGATTTTTAGGCAAGCCCATTTCCCTACTGTCGATATTCAATTTTGTTAACCTTTCTTAAGTGGGGAAAGCAGATTATCTTTCCTGAAACTTTTCACAATCGTTCATCACAGATTTGTAGACTGTTATAGCTGGTAAGGGTTAAAACCTTCTAGATCAGGCGTTCTCAACCTTTTTTGTGCCGAAGACCCCTTTGACAGTATAGTGAGCCTATCAACCCGTTCTCAAAACAATGTCTTTAGATATATAAAATAAAATACATAGGATTATGAAGGAAATAAATTATATTGAAATATAGTTATCAAAATATTAAAAGTAGAAAATTATGATATAGTTATGTAAGTGCTTGTTATTAATGTAGTAAATAACAAGATCTAAATGCAGTTCTGATAACCACGGTAACTTCAAACTAATGACGAGTGTAAAAATATTTAAAGAGGCCTGTAATAACAGTAATGTGACATAAAACTGTTTGAGATTTCTACCGGTGACAAAGTCACAGGTACTGCTAATAGTACCGTGTTCTGTTCTCTGCATTTGTAATTGAAGGAAATCTAAATTTCAGCTGGAGGTTGGTGAAAATAAAGATGTAACATTTTTCCATTGAAGTTTTCATCTTCTGAATTTTTCAGAATCCTTGTTCTAGGCCAGCCACCTTATAATGTTAATAATAGCTAACATGAAGGAACCTTTACTATATGCAAGGCACTATG